CGTAGGCCACTGAAGCTCAAGAGAAAATTTTATAGGACGACAATAAGGCCAGCGATGTTGTATGGCACAGAATGTTGGGCGGTGAAGCATCAACACGTACACAAAATGGGTGTAGCGGAGATGAGGATGCTTCGTGGGATGTGTGGGCACACGAGAAAGGATAAGATTGGGAATGAGGATATCCGAGGTAAAGTAGGAGTAGCCGAAATTGTAGGAAAGATGAGAGAAAATCGGCTCCGGTGATTTGGACATGTGCAAAGAAGGCCGACTGACGCTCCGGTTCGAAGATGTGACTACGGGACAGAGGTTCAGGGCCGAAGGGGTAGAGGAAGACCTAGGAAAACTTTGGAAGAGACTCTAAGAAAAGACTTAGAGTACTTGGATTTAACGGAGGACATGACACAAAACCGAGCGCAATGGCGTTCTAGGATTCATATAGCCGACCCCACTTAGTGGGAAAAGGCTTTGTTGTTGTTGTTGTTGTTGTTGTTGTTAAAGTGAACAGTACCGTAGGCTTTTTGTTAAAACTCCCAATTTTTTATCATATATTTTTATTTTTAGTTTGTACCTATTTTTAATTGCAAATATTTTTTAATTTGTACCAATTTTCTTTTCATTTTTAATTTGTACCCATATATTAGTTTCTTTTTGTGCCTAATTTTTAAAAGTTTTATTTGTGTTTGTACCCATGTGTATACTGTCACGTGACATTATATATTTAATCAATAATAGAAAAATTACATATGGTATATTTATGTTTTATGCCTAAACTTTGTATCATATATTTATATTTTTAGTTTGTACCCACTTTTAATTTGCAACATTTTTTTTTTAAATTTGTAGTATTTTCTTTTTAGTTTTATTTTGTACCCATGTATTAATTTCTTTTAGCACCTATATTTTTTAAAAATTCATTTGTACTTATAATCTTTTAATCTTTTATCTATACCCTAATTTATTTATAATGTAACCATTCTTCTTTATTAATGTACCACTTTGTTATATGTGAAATGCACCTAGTTTTTTGTAAAATGTACCAATTTTTTTTAACACTATGGATACATTCTTTTGCCATTTATTATTTCTTATTTTTACATAGTTTTTATCCATTTATTAAATCAAAATGTTTGAATTTTTTTATTGTAACCGTTTCTAATAGTATTATAATGAGGGATTTTAAATTTATAGGATTATAAATCTCATAAAATATCAAACAATTAGTGTCAAAACTATAAAAATATAAATATTAATAGTAATATAATGAGGTGTACAAAGTCAAGGGACTTTGATCAAACTTTGAATAGTATTAAAGTTTTAATAAAAGAATGTAAGGATTATGAACCGCATCCAAAGTATCCCGTTTCTAAACTATTGATATGATTTGCCGACAAAATATAAAGCATACTGGAGATCCTAAATATGTGATGGGTCAACAAAGAACATGTGGAAAAGCGACAAAAACAAGTTCTTAAGTTACAGTACATCAAGAAGAAGATCGAGTCTTACTGAGTGGTCTTTTCTGTTTTGATCTACTATAACACGAACCGCAATGGTCCCTGACCACCAAAGAAACTTCCATATAGCTGCCTGCTCCAGATCAACCACCTGCCTATGCCCTTCATCAACCAAAACGTTTCTTGATATCACTTCCTGAGACAGATAATTAACTTGTCATATTAACAAATACAATTTTATATGATAGAATAGGAAAAGAAGAAAGCAAAAAGCATGTCTGCCCACGCCTCTCCAGCTTGCTAACAGAAAGTTGTTCCTAGTTAAATCTGAAAGGAATGTGGACAGGAATGGTATCACTTACCTTAATATTTTTGAAAACCCTCTTATTGTCGGGGTCAGTTACAATATTATATACTGCGTCTGGGGGTAAACCAACATTGACGTTTACACTCAGGTTGCAAAGAGAACCTTTTGGTACACTGACCTGCAAAGAGTAAAAGTATTTTGTGACTTAAAGTTAGTAGGTAGTCAGAGAAGCCATAAGCTCCTGAGATGCTCCTTCGAAGAGAATGTGGTGTATACATATTTGCAACCACTAAAACATTCCTGCTTCTTGCCTAGAACTTCTCTCTTAACCAACATATGCTGCACGAAGGTGATGTTTAAGGACTTAACCGAACCGTTAGTGTAGAGGGGACCAAGACAATACATGTAGAGACTTGACTGATATGAAATTCTCCTTTCCAAGGGACTTCACAAATATAGTATAAGAAATTGAATCAATCTTCTTTCTTTTGACATTGATTACCAATCACATTTTGGCACACAAGAAGTTTACGACAAGGATAAAGCCAATTTATTCCCATTCCGAAGGAAAGTTACTCGGTACAGGGAAGCACATCTCTCACCTTTATATACGGTGGTTGATCAACCCAAGAAGGATTTTCTCTCCATGCTTGCAACTGCTTCTCGAGGTCATCCTCCAAAGATGCAGCCTTTTTAGGAACAGAGCTCACCTTTTTCACTCCATCATCCTTTGCTAGTCTCTTGAGCTGGGACTGTAACACGAAGCGCCTGTTAATTATAATATCAAATCAATAACCATGAGTAAATCACAAGTTTTAGTGAAATAACTTACCTTTAGGCAATTTTGCAGCCTGTGAGGAACCTGCAACAAAGCTTTAGAAAACGCCAGATCAAAGGCCTTGGGCTTGAGGTGCCCATTTCTCTTGTTCTTGTCGATGTTAACGCTTGTCTTGGTCACCTCTGTCTCACCCATTGAAAGGACAACTGTTTGGAATTGGAAACACAAGTTCTATGAAAAATTTTCATGAATTTCGTGAATGTTATTCGATTTGCATACGAGGAAGCAAACAATAACTTTGTTATGTTTGCTTATGGCTGACTAGTGTTTAAACAAAAACTAGAAAGTAATTAAAAACAGGCTAATCTATGGAATTATATATTAATAATTCCATTTTTGATCCTGTTAATTTAAATATCAGTACTTAATCCAACCACCAATTAAATTCCTAACACCATTTGGCCGCCATTCTATATCCCAAGCTAGTACGCACAGAAACACAGATAGTACAATTTGTGGCTAAAAACAATTTGATAAAAAAAAACAACTTTAAATCTGCAATTTCCATTAACATTTACAGCAAATTCAAGACCTTTACTAACCACAATCAAGAAAAAACAAAACCCATCTCAAATTTCAGAGACATCAATCAAACATTAACGGAACAATTAGAGAATTCCCATCTCAAATTTCAGAAAAACCAAAAGTTCTGGAAATTAACAGAACCAACGCGGTAAACAAAGCTCAGAGATTAAGCAGGGAATTAGAAGAAATGGGTTAACTTACAGCGATTGATTACGGAGCATATGTAATCAGAAGAATATTCATTCCGGTGTCGAATTTATGAAGCGGATCCAAGAATCTGGTGGCTTTCCTAATTCGCTGTTTCCTTTTTTAACACTTTTGCCAAGATTTCTACGGAATATGGGAGAAAGAGTGGCCACGTGATGCACGTGTAATACCGGACCAGCTCCGGAACTCGATCAATCACGGAGTAATCTGAACGGTGGCGGTGCCTTGGGTATGTGGACCCCATGAGAGATAAAGGCCAAGAGCTAGATTACGAGAATTGCTGTATTTTTTTTGGTATTTTCTATTTTGTATTTTTTTTTATAGATATGATGTGTTAAAATAATAGTTTTTTTTCTTTTTCTTTTTGGTAAAAGTTAAAATAATAGTTTACGACAGGAAACATGTGGACCATATTTTTCACGTCTTTGTTCATCGGGCAGTTTGGAAGAGATTTTTGAATGTAACCAGAATATAAAATTGTACATCACGTGTTATTATACAAATAGTAAGATGTGTGTATTAAAAAATAAAAAAATTCATCACTTATATAAAAACACATGGTGTACCACCCGTATTCCGATCACAATGAAAATTTTATCGCAGTTCGGGCCATATGATGACAATCCGCTCCAACAACCATTTTGATATGGGTAAGGTGACCCAAACCATACAACGACAATTCGCTTCGACTCATGATGGTTACTAAAAGGGATATGAAACATGCCCCTTGACCAGAGTCATAATGGGAGTATGTGGTCCGATTGGAGTGCACCAAGCGAAGTCCTAATGGGCGTATGTGGTCTGCCACCCCATACGATTGAAACGAAGTAAACCACACAAAGTTCTAATGGGAGTATGTGGTTCGCCACCCCCATAAGGTCCAACCAGAGTGCACACACCGAGTCTTAATGGGCATATGTGGTCCGCCACCCCCACAAAGTTCGAAGTGCATACGTGTAGGTTCTCCGCGTCATGTTCAATCGCTCTCCACTTAGGTCCTATCAAACCCTCGCTACACATGGTTTGACTACTCTAAGCCACGCCTTTGACTAACTGGTCAGATTATGGCGCTCAGACCCATGTTACCCATGCTCTTGATTGCACAATTGTCACATCCCGGCCCGAGCTCCTACCACATTCCGAGCTCGACTCCACCGTAGCACGATATTGTCCGCTTTGAATCCCGACCACGCCCTCACAGTTTTGTTTCTGGGAACTTACACGAGAACTTCTCAGCGGGTCACCCATCATGGGAATGCTTTCTCGCGAACTCGCTTAACTTCGGAGTTCCGATGGAACCCGAAGCCAGTAAGCTCCCAAAAGGTCTCGTGCTAGGTAGAGATGAGAATATACATATAAGACTTACAAGATCTACTCCCTTGGACGATGTGGGATGTTACAATCCACCCCCCTTAGGAACCCAACGTCCTCGTCGGCACACATCCAGCCAGGGATTGGCTTTATACCAAATTGTCACATCCCGGCCCGGACCCCCACCACATCCCGAGCTCAATTCCACCACAGCATGATATTGTCAGCTTTGGGCCCCGACCACACCCTCACAGTTTTGTTTCTAGGAACACTTTTTGACCAAAAACAAAACAGAGATAGCACTAATTTGGTAGATGTCATGGTATGGACGTTTTTATAGGACTGCTGCTAAACCCTAAAATCTTAAATCCTCTTTCTATCATGCAATTAGCATAAAACACACAGAAACCCCTTTGTATAAAAAGAAAACATCATAGTTTACAAAATCCAGATGCATAAGGCAATTTAAATGCCTTCTCAGACTTTACGGCACACATCACCGTCACAAATATAATCCTCCGTTGCCTTGGGAGGGTCATCCTCCGTTCCTCCATTGTTGCTCTTGTTCAATGCACATTTTGGGTGGAGATCGAAGTTGCAGTCTTTGCAGTAAAAAGACCAGCCACTTCCCGGCTCCCTGCACCAGCAAACATAGTCGTGGTGGAGCACACGCGTGAGGTCGTGTTCAGCATGGAGTATACTCTTTACTTTCTCAGGCCACCCCTTTGCTTCTTCCTCCAACTTTTCCTCCAATTGCTTCAAATGCTCTTCTGTGAACGGATAAGCGTCGGATCCATGCGCCTGTATGAGTTGCCGGGCCTGCGTGCTGAGTGTCTGGCCGTTGGGGCTGATGGCTACCAATGCAGGAATGCCTTGGATTTTGAATTTGTGCTGCAGGAGGGCCTGCCTTGGATCGCCTAATGGGATGGCTAACCAAGGCATGGTTGCAAAGAGTTCTTTGAAGGAGGGTTGATCGCGATCGCTTGAGAGGAAGATTATTTCAATGGCATTGCCCTTTGCCTTGATCTGATTGTACGCTTTTATAAGCTTAGGCATGAATGCACGACATGGAGGGCACCAATGAGCTGAGAAATAGAGCAGAATGTGCTTCCCAGCAAGCTCAGACACTGGTACCTAATCAAACACAGACAGAAACTTGACGCATGCAACTAAAAAACCTCTGACTGATGAGAATCTCTGACTGATGAGAATAAAGAAACATTTGAAATTTAATTGATATCATAGAACATTAGGAAATGAACCGGCAAGAAAATTGTACCTTGGAACCGTTATTTTCAATCACAAAGTCTCTGCCCCCAGCAACTAAAAGTGACTGTATAGTCTGTTCTTTGAGTTTCAACTCAGCAAGCACGGCAATCTTCTCTGGTGTAAAGGGGTAGGCTTCAGCGCCATACTCTTCAATGAGTTCAGCCGCATTGGAGTGTAATGTCTTTCCATCTTGCCCAATTATAACTAGTGTAGGTAAATTCTCAAGCTCAAAGTAGCGAGCAAGTTTTTCACAGTTCTTGTCCTTAAACGGCAATGCCAACCATGACACTTGAAACCCTTCTTTGAAGTGTTCCTCTTCAAGGTCCAGAGATATCAACACAATCTCAAAGTTCTCTCCTTTCTCCTTCATTTTCTCATGGAACTTCACAAGTGCCTGAGTAAATTCTTTGCATGGCTTGTGAGTATTAAGCGAGAAATACAACCCAACAATCTTTCCTTCAAGCTCGGATACAGAAACCTGTCGATACATTTTTTTGGGTATTCATGGTCATCAACTATCTCTATCATATAAAAGTTAAAACAATCCAACGTTACAGAAGTGCTAGCAATGTAAAATCAAGGGGGAAAACCTGTACCTTATTGCCATCCTTCGAAATCAAATAATCCCGGGAACTAGAAACCAAGAGAGAACTCAAGGACTGATTCTCCTTCACCGTGGCTTCCTTCTCTTTTAATAAATTCATCTTCTCCGCGGTGAACGGATAACCATCCGCCCCGTGGTCCATTACAATTTTTGTCCCATCATTAGTACAAACTCTCCCATTGGCATCAATAATGACAAGATGGGGAATCCCCCTGACTTTGAAGAACTCCTTGAGGCGTTTTCGGGTCTCCAAATCCGAAAAGGGAATCGAAAGCCACGGCATTTTCGAGAAGTATCCGGTGAACGATTCCTCATCTCTATCAGAAGAGATGAACACAACTTCAAAGCCGCCTTTGGCCGCCAAGTCCTGGTGGACCTCCACCAAGTTTGGGGTGAACCGGAGGCACGGGCCGCACCACGAGGCGGAGAAATACAACCCCACAATCTTTCCGGTCAAACTACTGATCTCAGCCTATATATTCATAAAAAAAAAAATATAATCACCACAACCCAGAAAATAAAATAAAAACAGCCATCTCAATCTGTTCTTCGTATAATCAATGCCAAAGTAAACATTTTAAGATTGAACCAAGCAATTACATAGCATTTACCCAACTGGGTTTCCATCATAATTACATTTAGATTAACGTTCCTCTATATTCTCAGAAGAAAAAAAATGCAAATACTTTGGCTTGCTTATTTTTCCCCTGCAATCTCAATGAACATAGAGTCGAAACTTTAATGAGAAAATATGATGGTTACACTTTTACCTGGCCGCCGTTGTTGCGGAGGAGGAAGTTTCTGTCGGCGGAGGAGATGAGAGAAAGGAGGTCGTGAGTGACGCCGTCTTCGTCGCCGTTAGCCATGCTTTCTGAGTCTCTCTCTCTGAGCTGCAATTGGAATTTGGTATATATTCAAGTTTGGTGGTGAAAGTTTGCGACTTTTATTAGGATCTTCGACGTCGAGGGCACCACTTACAATATTATAATAAACACACGCAAAATACGAGCTGGCTGGCTAAGATTGAGTTTCCGTCTAAATCCCCATGGGATTATAGTTTTTTATTTAAAAATAGTAGTTCCTCTTGAATAATGGTAACAATAAATAAACTGGATTATAAATCATGTAAATGCAATCTTTTTCATATGAAAATTTGGACCATTTCAAATTAAAATGTGCTTCGAATCCGAAACGTATGAGTATAAACTCAACAACAAATCTGCTAGAACAAATTGTATATTTTGATCTCAAAAATGACAAATTTAACACGAATTTGTTACTTGGAGGGTCCGTAACTCCATTTGGTTGTCGGATTAGAGCTATGAAAAGAAACTTTGGGTGAATCGTCCTTATCCGTTGTGTTCCCCGTGGAATTTATGGAAAGGTTGAAAATTTTTAGCTTCTCCTGTTCAGGCTGAGCCACTGCGTACGACATACAAACAAACAAGAGTGCAAGAAGCGCAGGCCATGCGGGCCATGCTCAAGCCCAGCTTCTTATTGTAAACACTCGTTGGTAACGTGCAAATTATTATTAATTCAAGCCATGTGTGTGGTTGTCCCAAAGTATTATTTCTCTATAGATGAAATTGCAGCAATAGTTCATTAATTTTAATCAAATTAGAATATTAGTGTCTTAACTAAAAATTTATGACTATTAATTCTGCAACTCATCAAAACGTGCAATTATGATCATTGTCATCAACTTCGTTAAAACTCTCGTCAAAATGAGTCATGCCACACAAGTAGGGATGGGCAATGGTTATGACGGGCGGGTAACCGCGGTTAATTTACCCATAACCGTTTATGTTCATACCCGCATAACCGTTTACCCGTTGGGTAATTGTCTAAACGGTTATATACTCATACCACCGTTTTATAAACGGTTAACCATACTCATAACCGCATACTCATTTAACCGTAACCGTTTAATACCCGTTTATCCATTTATTCTTTTTAACCAGTTTACATTTTTCATTTTTTTTTTTTACATTACCTTTTCCAATTTTTCAATATACATTATTATTAATTTGTTAAATTTTTTAAGTTTACCATTTTAAATCCATAATTTTTTAACATTCCAATATTTGAAATATTTACGAGCGATATTTTTCCAATTACCAATGAAAATTAGTTTATAAGGTTACAATAAATTTTTTTTTAAACACTTAATTTATACGGTTAATTACAATTTTTGTTAGAACATTTTTAAATCAATTCCTGACCAGTTTTATTTCTGAATGGAGTTGAATTTAATGGGTGCTAAGTATTATTGGATTGAGAACATGGTTTGTATTAGTTTTACATATATAAAATAAATGGGTAAACGGTTACCCGTTTATAACCGCGGTTAATACCCATAACCGCCCATTTAAATTTCGCAGGTAAACGGTTATACCCATAACCGTTTATTTATCTAAACGGTTACCCATAACCGTAACCGTTTAATTTAAATGGGCGAGTAACCGCGGTTACCCATAACCAATGGGTATTTGCCCATCCCTACACACAGGCTGAATCATGAGGCAAATATGAAAATCAAAATGAGAACATTGTAACAATGGTCCATCAACTTTAACTCAATTGGAGCAATGATCCATTGGCATTAACCTTATTAGATAAATGGTTCATCAACTTTAACCCAATTGTAACAATTGTCCTATCATCATGACCCATTACGGTTATGACGGAGTTGAAGAAAATAATCATAGTTACACTTTTTGATGAGTTAATGGACCAATAGTTATGGATTTTTAGTTAAATGATCAAAACTCCAATTTAATTAAAGTTAAAGAACTATGGTAGTTAATTGGAAAAAGAGGACATACATAGATGTAAATTTATTTGAACATTATTTCGTTTTTAGTTTTAGTATAAATTGAACAAATGAGGAGTAAAGAAGGGCAAAGTAAATGGTTGGATGAAGAAGGGGAGAAATGAAAGAGATTATATAAAACAAAAAATTATATTCAGTTTTAGTTTTCATCATGCGTTACTCTAAAACACATTTCTTACACAATATTTTTATAACCATCTTCATTCTTCATTTCTCTCATAAAAACTAAAAGGTATTTTGGTCAAAGTAATCCCTGAAATTGACATAAATTGTCACTTTAGTCCTTAAAATTTGAAATCAATAGAAGTGGTCCTGAGTTCGTTCACCGTCAATCATTTTGCTCATTCTGTTAATAAGGACCAAAATAACAAAAATGCCCTCAATTTAACAATCAACGGGCCAAAATGATTTGACATAAATTGAGGTATTTTGTCATTTTCTTTTATTTAACAAAAAAATTTCACCAAATGACCAAAATGATTGATGATTGACAAACTCAATGACCAATTCTATTGGTTTTAAATCTTGTTTGTACCATACTTGACTAATCCCGAATTTACAGAGTACCGGTCAACGTTATACCGTCAAGGACCCAGAAGAGTTTCTCTCCAACCAGGAGGCCAATCACAGCGCGACACGTGTCGACATCAGAAGCCAATCATAGCTCGACACGTGTCAACATCGGAAGCCAATGACAACACGACACGTGTCAATGTCAGAGTAAAGCTAGAAACTCTTTTCTATAAAAGGATATCATTCTCCCACAATATTTCCTACTGTCATTTATACTAAATCATTCACTAGTACTCACTAAAGGAGAGCTTGAACCTATGTAATTATGTAAACCCTTCACAATTAATGAGAACTCTTATACTCTGTAGACGTAGCCAATCTGGGTGAACCACGTACATCTTGTGTTTTCTTCCCTGTCTCTCTATCCATTTACATATTTATCTACACTAGTGACCGGAGCAATCTAGCGAAGGTCACAAACTTAACACTTTCTGTTGTACCAAAGTTCTCACGGATTTTGTGCATCAACAAATCTCAAGGACCAAAGTCATGACTTAGCCAATCTCGAAACATTTTGGCTAAAAAACCAAACTCAAACTAAAAACTAAAAACGTTCATTAATGGGGCGTTTGTTGCACCGGACTATCTCGGACTGGACTAGCTTTAAGGACTAAGCTGGACTGGCTTAGACTAGACTAAGCTGGACTGACTTAGTGAAACGTTTGATGCAGTACTGAATTAAGAAGCATGATTCTAATATTATATTATTAAATCTATATATACAATATTTTATCATTAATTTAATCTAATCTACTAATTTTTTTATTATTATTTTATCATTTGGCTAGAATCATCTTCTTCCCTGATTCATTTTTATCTCCGCCCATTGACTCCCTCCCCTATCCCTTTTTTTGCCTTTTCTCCCTCTTTTTCTCAGTACTACTGTCTTCCCCCAAAAAACCCCAACCCCTCCCTCTCAAGCTTTAATCGCCAATTTAATGGCAGCCATATGAGCTTTCCTGTTCAGCTTCATCTCTCTCTTCCCTTTGTTTTTTCGTTCAAATCCCCCTCTCTCTTCCCTTTGCCTCTTTTCCCGTCCAACTTCACTTGTTCTTCCATGGGTGAGGATTGAAGTTGCAGACGGCACGGGTGGGTAGGGCTGGGTATGGGCATGGGCAGGGATTGGAGTTGCAGACGGCAAGGGGTGCAATTTGGTCGGGTCGCCGAGAATATCGCCGTAGTTCTCTCGGATTTGAAACGAGGGAATGGTTTTGGTGTGGTGCTGTGATCTCGTTGGAGAGAAGACGCAACGTAAACGAAGCAAGGTATTCGCAGAGGGAGGACGCCAAGCGGCGCAAAGGAGACGAAGCAAGTCTTAGCAGTCCCGTGGTTTTCGGGGAGCTTCGCTAAGACGACCTAGCGAGGGAGATAGTCCACACGAGTCCGGACTAGTCTCATTTAAGTTAGTCCCCAAGCTTACCAAACATGGGACAATAATCCTAACCAGTCCAGTCCCACTTAAGAAGGTGAAACAAACGCCCCCTAAGAGTTCTTAGTTTGATGAATATGCATCTCTTAACTTTAAACTTGAATTCAAAGAATAAAATAATTTCAGTTAAGTAATAATTAGGGTAAATTACATACTAGCCCCCTCAGGTTTGAGGTCTATTACAACCTCATACAACGTCTTTAAAACATTTCACTTTCATACATTATGTACCATTTTATTTCAAAATAATACATCCGTTAGATTTTCCGTCCATTCATCTGTTAAATGCTGACGTGGCTACCACATTTGTGCTGATGTGGCTGCCACGTGGTAAATTTTTTTTTAATTTTTTTAAAAAAACCTAACTCTGTTAAATAAATATTAAAAAAAAATCAAATAAACCACCCCCGTACCCCCCTCCCCACCCCATCCCACCCGCATCCCCCACCCAAAACCAGAAACCCAGAACACCCCCCCAACCCGCGACCCTCCCTCCCCAGATCCCCATTCCTGCAACCAGTTCGTTTTCTCCCCGCACCCGCACTCACCCTCTATCCCCCTTCTCATTCCCCTTCTCCTTCCTTCATGTTCATCTTCCTCCAACTAGACATCGACGATTCAGACTTCATTTATCTCAGTCTCCGCCATTGCAAGCACTCCGCCTCCCATTCCCTCAAATCAATTAATCCTCAGCCTCCGCCTCTCATTCCGAGCCCCACTGGAGCCGTACAGGCCGCGATGCAGCGTAGGACCCAAATTCACTGCCACAGAGACGACCAGAATGTTGAGCCCATTCCGACCCAACCCATCATCCTCAATCTCTTTTGGTTTATGAAGATATTGACGACGATGATCGTAGTTTTGGGGTTATTGAGTCGAATTGCGATGTGGGCATGGAGGGTTTGGACCTCGATTTGAGTTTAGGGTTAGGGTCAGGATTGTTGTTTGGATGGGGACCTCGATCTGATGTGGGTCGTCGCCGGAGGGGGGGTAGTAGGTCGTGTGGGTTTTCAGGTAGGTCGTATAGAGAAGGGGATCTGGGTTGCGGGGAGGTGAGGGGGGTGAGGGTGGGGTGTGGGTTTTCATGTGGGTTGCAGAGAGGTGAGGGGGTAGGGGTGGGATGTGGGGTTGCGGGGAGAAGAGAGGAGGATAAAGGGGAAGGTTTCAATTTTTTTTTTTATTATTAATTTTAATATTTAGAAGATTTAGGTTTTTTTTTTTTAAAAAATTAAAAAAAAAAATTTTTGCCACGTGGCAGCCACATCAGCACAAATGTGGCAGACACGTCAGCATTTAACAGACTAATGGATGAAAAATCTAACGGAGATGTTATTTTGAAATAAAATGATACTTGATGTATGAAAGTGAAATGTTTTAAAGTTGTTGTATAGGGTTGTAATAGACCTCAAACCTGAGGAGCTACTATGTAATTTACCCTAATAATTATTATAATAATAGTTATAATATTGCATCATCTGAAACGCAATACGTAAGAGTTTAGGACACAATCATAACATGTCACTAGTTTAACCCAAAACACACATTTCTCAGCTTCTCATGATACGCTAAATCACAAACACATGACACATACATACTTCTTAAGCTTTTGTACAAACATCACCGTCACAAACCCCTCCTTCTTTGGCTTCCTCTTCTTCCTGCTTGGCATCATTTTCGGTCTCTTTATCTGCCTCCAACGCGCACTTTGGGTGGAGATTGAAATTACACTCCTTACAATAGAATGACCACACCAGTCCCGATTTATCGCACTTATCACACGTAAATCCTGTACGTCGCGTGAGGACAAGCTCGTGCTTCTCATGGCGTGCACTCTTCAACTTCTCAGGCCACCCTTTTGCCATCTCCTCATATTCCACTTCCATCTCCTTCAGTCGCTCTTCGGTGAAAGGATAAGCATTCGCCCCATGAAGCGTGACAAGATTTCTTGCTTCTTTTGTGACAGTTTTGCCAGTAGGACCAAGGGCGACGAGCATGGGGATGCCCTGGACCCTGAATCTGCGACTCAAGGGCACTTTTCTTTCATCGCCAAAGGGAAGAGCAAGCCATGGCATTTTAGCAAAGAAGTCATCGAAAGAGGTCTGATCCCGGTCACTAGAGATGAAAATGGTTTCAAATGCATCGTCCTTTGCCTTAATCTCGTGGTAGGCTTCAACAAGTTTTGGCAGAAAGGCGCGGCAAGGAGGGCACCAGTGAGCTGAGAAATAAAGGAGGATGTTCTTCCCCACTAGATCTGTCACAGGAACCTGAATGCAGAAATAATACTTGTTATTCACTTACTACCACTTACTACCACACAAAAAACACACAAATGCACACGCACAATACAAGTTACATGCCTTGAAAGAAGCGAACTGTGGGCTTTCGTCCCACATCACACAAAAGAATATCACTGTATAAACCATAAAAGGGGGGACACCTATATCTTACCTCAGTTTCATCTTTTCCAATGACAAAATTTCGATCCCCGGAAATCAAAAGTGACTCCAGGGTTTGAGCTTTCTCCTTTGCCTTCTCTATCTCATCGAGCTCTGCAAACTTCTCTGGCGTGAAGGGGTATGCCAGACTCCCATGCTCGTCAATGGCATCAGTAACGTTCTTACTAAGTGTTTTACCATCTGCCCCAATAATAACCAAAGTGGGTAAGGTTGACAGCTCAAAGTACCGAGCCAATTTCTCAACATTTTTGTCCCCATTGGGTAAAGAAAACCAAGGCATTTTCTCAAAATGTTTCTTGAATGATTTTTCATCATCATCAAGTGGCAGCAACACAATCTCGAAGTTCTCTCCATTTCCCTTCAGCTTCTCATAGACGTCCACAAGTTTTGGAGTATATTCTGCACACGGACTGTATGAAGACAATGAGAAATAGAGACCCACTATCTTCCCTTCTAGTTCAGAGATGGGCACCTTGATTTATGCACAAATTAATAACAAAAGTCAGATTGTGCAGCCGAGTTGCATTTCACGGCAAATTCATAGAATACGAGACTAGTAAGTCAGTATCATAAACAAGAAGTGGCAATGAAACTTACCTTCTCTCCGTTATTTGAAATTACAAAGTCGCGTGAGCGGGAGACCAAGATTTTTTTCAGGGACTGTTCCCTTCTGGCAGCTTCCTCTTGATCTTTTAGTTCTTTTATCTTTTCCTGTGTAAAAGGGTAGGAATCAACTCCGTACTCCTGAAGAATCTCAACTCCATCGTCACTCAAAACTTTCCCATCTTCGCCAAGTATCACAAGATGGGGTATCCCACGAACTTTGAACAATCCATCCACACTATCACGTGCGTCTGAATCAGAGAACGGAATTGCAAGCCATGGCATCTTGGAGAAGTACCCATTGAATGACTCATCATCTTCATCAGCCGAGATAAATATAATCTCAAAATCACCATTTGGAGAGATCTCATTGTAGGCCTCGACTAAAGCTGGGGTGAATTGTTGGCATGGACTGCACCATGATGCAGAAAAATACAGCCCAAGCTTTTTCCCCTTCAAGCTCTCAACCTTAATCTGAAAATCCAGAATTTGACGTATGATTCCTCTCTTACATTATCCCACTACCAATATTACCATCAACCCTGAACCCTCTACATCTGAATAATAACTTTTCTTTTCCAAATTTTCGTAAACCTTTCAAACAAGTCTTTCTAAATCAACCACCACTCAAGTTAATACATGTACATGTATGCAAATAAATTACAGTTCAAAGACAATAGTTGGATCATAATCTAAACCGTTCATTTTCATATCCCCTCATTTAAATATCATCTATCCACAAATTAATAAATTGAACATCGTTTCTTAATCTGTAAGTATCAAATAACCGGACGGTTGGAGGAGCTTAATGTTTACCATAACTTCAGTTTGCACAAACAAAATGCTGAGTTCAGTAAAACCAGATATAAATTCAACCTAACAGAGTCTAAAACCTTGCAAACAGAGCCATATCTTTAATTTACTTTTTTCACCAAAAAGTACAGAAATTTGCTTTTTTCTTTTGCCACTCAAACAAATTGAACCTCTATTTATTTACTAATTTCAAATACATCCACAAGTGTGATAAAAAATAAAAAATAATAAAAAAACCCAATTGTTAAACTACTTCAACAGAGTGTTTAAAATATCCACAAATTTGTCGATATTTCCATCCAAATAACCGAAAAATCAAAGTATCGATATGGAAATGAGGGTAAAATGCAAACCTCGGCTAGATATAGAAAAATCAATGAACCCAGACTGAATCTATTTCACTAACACTCAAAAATTTACCCAAGATTTTTTACCGACAAGAAATTAACTTATAAATCGAAGAGAATCAGAAAAAAGAGCCGAAATTTTACCTGATCACCATTGTTACGGACAAGATAGTCCCTCTCCGCAGAAGAAAGAAGCGAGACAACGTCGTGGGGTTCGGCGTTGGCCGCATCCGCAGCGTTAGCTTCACCGTCTGACATTTTGTATCTTTCGAAATGTTCTTCTACGAGGTTGGGGTATTCCGAACTTGAAATTCGCCGGAGGTTGTGTGATATGTGAAGGTGAGGACAGTGTGAACTCAGGGGCTCTATTTATATTGCACCAATTTTTGGAGGAATCTTTCTGCGTGTCGGAAACGCTGGTATTCTATAAGTGTTTGTTTGTATTCGTTTTTAAAAGAGTAAATTGTACAAATGGTCCTTCAACTTTAATCAAATTGGAGCAATGGTCCCTCAACTAAAAATCCATTACCTTTGGTCCCTCAACTTATCAAAACGTGCAGCTATGGTCCCTCAACTAAAAATCCATTACCATTGGTCCCTGAACTTTAATTCAAGTGGAGAAATGGTCTTTAACTTTAGCCCAATTGTAGCAATGGTCCTTCCAATATAACTCGTTTTGACAAATTTTTTGACATAATTGACAAAAAGAACCATAATTATACACTTTGATGAGTTAATGAACCCTAATTATATAAATGGTCATTCCAACATAGCTTATTTTGACAAAATTTTGACAAAATTGATGAAAAGGACTATAGCTACACATTTTGATAAGTTGAGGGACCAATGGTAATGGATTTTTAGTTGAGGGACCATTGCTCCAATTTGATTAAAGTTGAGGGACCATTTGTACAATTTACTCTTTTTAAAATGATTGAATTGAAAGAGTTTTTCGTGAAAATATTGTTGAAATTAATTTTTAGTCAAAATACAAATAAATTCTGTAAAATCACTTAAAGTGCATAATCGGTGCTTCTTGCATAAAGCATTTTTTGAAACCAATTTTTAGTCAAAATGCAAATATATTATGTAAAAACACTTAAAGTGCATAATTGGTGCTTCTTGCATAAAGCATTTTAAGTGCTTTTGAAACCAAAAAACATTTTCTCTAAAATTGCTTTTAACCATTTTAAAAGTACATCCAAACAAACTCTAAGTAATTGGAATTTTTTTGATGTATTAAATTAATTGTATTATAACGTTTAATATATGAGTCGAATTTTAAACACATTGAAAAAAAATTTGAGTGTAGGGAGTCTAGAATTTTCTTAAAGAGTGAGAGAAAGAAAGATAAGAGGATCTCTTTGAGAAAAGTTCCACACAGAGATAAATTTTTAGTTGTGACGGGAACGTGGTACACCACGTGTTTTAATGTAAGTGATGAAATTTTTTAATTTTTAAGTTATTAATCTTTTAACACACATATCTCACCATTTATATAGAAACATATGGTGTATCACCTCGTGTGACGGTCACACTGAAAAATCTCTCGTAGATGCATAAGCACGTATGCATCAGCGTCACCCAGTTAAATCTCAACACAATTTCAATATGCCTTTGTTCCATTTTCTTCTTAACAAAATAAAATGAAAATATTACACATTAAGTTCACTTAAAACTACAAAGTGAGTAATTTGAATATGAATAACAAGAGTGGAAAATTTGAACATGAATGCAAAGGATGGCCCCATAAAGCACATTAGGCATATCAATGCCAGCTCTGAGTATGTGTAAGTAGTATTGCATAGGGTTCAAATACGTCTCAAGGCGGGCCTTGAGACACAGCAGTTGAATATGTTGGTTACGAGGCCTCTCAATCTCAAATAAGCATATTTTTTTTAGTATAAATGATATTCTACACTAATCTTATTAAAAAGAGAAAGATGAGTATGAACTCACAACGCAATATATTAAAACGGATGACATCCACCACTTGTCAAAATTTATTATTTGTGTTTTTTATTTATTGGGTTTTGGTTTTTAATTGCAATTCTTCTCACCTAAATAAATATAAAATCCTTCCAAAACAAGTATTAGTTTTAAGGTATTCTTTGCATTATACTTTTCAAACTGAATCTTCGTCTTTACGTTTCCATGTGTGAACATTGGAAAATGACAAAGTGCATCAAACATTGACTCCATCGACCCGTATGGGCTGTGGCCCGTTTTGATTGTTAGCAACAGCCCAATCTGGCATGCTTCAATCGAATTTGTACCCGTGTGTATATGGTTTATTGGTAGTTGTCTCACCACCTCCGCATCATACGCCCTCGTATTCTCCGCGCTCGCGGCCTCCCCTCTGCCGGTTGGCCACCCCTCAACCGGTCGGCCACCCCTTCTCTGAAACAACCACAGGAGCGCCAACAACTCCCTCCCTCTCCATCGCACTCACAAACGCATCCACACTCAGCGTCGAAAAGATTACTATACATCAACTCGCCGTCGATAACCACCACTAGTGGCTCCAAACAACGCGTAGTCGAGACAGACGTTGTTGTGCCTTGGCCGTTCGTCAGTATGGAAGTGAGATTCAGATTGTCTCACCAAACTACATACCCACAGTTGAACAGTTTAAATTACAAGAAATAAATACACTGAGAAATTTACGAGGTTCGGCAAAAATCTGCCTACGTCCACCAAGAGATATTGCTCTTCACTATGAGAATAACTAGTACAAGATACACTTGAGTTAAATCAACATAACCCAAACCCCAATCCCTTGTACCCTCACATAATTTTACTAAGAGCCTCACTCTCCCCAAGAGTTTCTCACTCTCACTCTATATTTTCTCTCCTTTGTGTTCTCCTTTGGATGCTCTCTCAATGCATTTCTAAATGCACAAATATTGCATCTAGTTATAGGTATACACTAGCAACTATGCCAACAAACAAGACAAAAAAGTCTTAAGTTCACATGACATAATTATCACCTAGCCTACCTAGCATGCATCAAAGTCTATACCTAGTCTATAAAGTACAACTTTTCTCTATTTGTCATTTAATGCATATAAAATAAAACATGCACAATTGTGTGCAAGCAACCACAAAGTCAAGTCTTGCTTGCAACTTTACTTATGGTAGTCACCATGCCTTCTCTTGAAACAAGACATCCATGCCACAACCGAAAGCCAAACACAAAGTGGCTACTACCATTTCCCTGTAGCACTCAGAAAGTTACACTATCAAAATTGTTGCCAACTCATAAGTATATGAGCCAAACATAATAATATCCACATTGGCGAATATACCATGCAAAAATCCTTGCATCCATTGCCAAAGCCTCCATTAGCCTTACGTACCAACATACACATCCTGAATCAACCTCATTGGTCATGTTCCGATTCAGTCACTGCCAATGCATGTGCAGCTGCTGCAAGCTAAAAATCACCATTTAGCTTCAGACAGGATCTCGACACATCCTCGTCTCCTTCAACAGGTTTTCCTCCTCTTCATTGTCTGCAACCTGGAAACTTGTCAGCGCGTCCGTTTCCAGCAATAACCCATCTAGCCAGACAAAATTCCCACACTTCCTCCTACCTCAGGACTATCTCATCACCTGTGAATCCCATAGCTCCACCTGCTGCAAAACCCCTGCAACACTTGAGACTAAACATCACCAGGAGAAGTGTTGCTTCGAGTACCTAGAGGGCATACTTAAAGCTTTATGCCACAAACTTGCTACCACCCGGCCTTGCACCGTAGCACTGTGGACCCTTGCTTCCGGAACTGGATCTGAACCTGTTGTCTCTCTCAGATCCTCTTTCCAATTTTCTTCCATGATTCCAACCTTGAATAGCTTAAGCAATCTCGTGCCCACCATCATCCATGGTCTCCTTTGTGTATCATTCCACACCAAAGAAGCTTGCACCTGCTCCAAACTTACTGTATCTTTCCATGCAGTAAAGTTTCACAAGGTTCTCGTACGAATCTGAAAGTAAGGTAAGAAGAAAGAGGCATTTTTCTTCTTCCTCAACATCAACTTTCGCAATTGATCCAAGCATCCCTGAACACGACTTCCATTTCTTCAGGCTTCCATTACTCTCCTTTACCAAAAGTAAAACTGCCTCTCCCATTAAACTGCTCAACTGAAAATTCCATGGTGAACAACAAATCTGGACCTCCAACGAACCAAGCGTCCAACGATGCTCTGATACCAATTGTTGTGCCTTGGCCCATTTGTCAGTGCGGAAACGAGATTCAGATTACAACCTCACCAAATCACTCAGTTGAATAGAATAAAATACAAGAAATAAATACAATGAGAAATTTACGAGGTTCGGCAAAAATCTGTCTACGTCCTCCAAGAGATATTGCTCTTCACTATGAGAATAACTAGTACAAGATACACTTGAGTTAAATCAACATAACCCAAACCCCAATCCCTTGTACCCTCACAAAATTTTACCAAGAGTCTCACTCTCCCCAAGAGTTTCTCACTCTCACCCTATATTTTCTCTCATTTGTGTTCTCCTTCGGATGCTCTCTCAATGCATTTCTAAATGCACAAATACTGCATCTAGTTATAGGCACACACTAGCAACTATGCCAACAAACAATACCAAAAAGTCTTAAGTTCACATGACATAATTATCACCTAGCCTACCTAGCATGCATCAAAGTCTATACCTAGTCTATAAAGTACAAATTTTCTCTATTTGTCATTTAATGCATATAAAATAAAACATGCACAATAAAAATGCACAATTGTGTGCAAGCAACCACAAAGTCAAGTCTTGCTTGCAACTTTACTTGTGGTAGTCACCGTGTCTTCTCTTGAAACAAGACATCCATGCCACAACCGAAAGCCAAACATAAAGTGGCTACTGCCATTTCCCTGTAGCACTCAGAAAGTTACACTATCAAAATTGTTGCCAACTCATAAGTATATGAGCCAAACACAACAGACGTAGTTTATGCTGCTTAGGTAGCTGAAGTAGGGGTAGGAGTTGACCATGAAGGGGGAGTTCGTGTCGCGGAGGAAGCGAAGGAGGGGGAGTAAAAAGGGTTGGACGGAGGGTTCAAATGAGGTTGAGGATGGAGGGTATGAGGTGGAGAGAACAGATGCGTTTAGTAGGGAAGAGAGCTTGTTGTAAATGTCAAGGCCTAGGGTTTGGAGGGCTTGGTGAAGTTTGAGAATGGTGAGAAGGACGTGATGAGTGTGGTAAGGGTCTTTGAGGAAAACCTCGTTGCCAACGGCGATGTAACAGATTTGGTTTGCGGGGATGTGTGCGAGCAGGTTAGATTGGAGCCAATTAAGGGTGGCGGCGAGGGTGGGTAGGAGTTCGTTGGGGACACCGATGGTGAGGTGGATTGTTGGGGTGCCGG